AACCCAGTTCTGGGCGTCGGTACCAGAGGCCCTCCCCGGCTAGCGCCGTGCCCGGCCTTCCAGCCGTCTCGCCTCGCTGCCCGAGGGTCCTCACCCGCTTCTGCTCCTCCAAAATTCTGCCCGTCCGCCGTAAACTTTACATACGGCCCTTCGTGTGACCCAAGCAAGCACTTCTGTTTACAAAGTAAGTTTAAATGTTTCCAGAGGGCCACAGGGACAGCTTTGAAGCAGATGCAGACTACCGCCTCCGCACACATGTCACAGCAGCGCTTCTGCCCCAAAAACAGCCATCCAGTGAAACACGCATGTTCCTTCCCTCAGCTGTGGGAGCGGCACTGCAGCCACACAGCAGGCCGAGAGCTGCTCGTGTTCTCCGGCTGCTCAGATTTTCTAAACCATGTCACAACGTCACGAACCGGTGACAAAACAACTCAGAAAAAGGGCCCAGGAAGAGAATGTGTTTACAGTTTGAAGTACAAACACCACCGAACAGGACACACCAGCTCTAGAATCAGGAAGCAGACCACACGGTCGTTTGGTTCAGCGGCAGTCGGTGCTGGTTGACTGATCGGTACTGATACTGCAGAGGGAAGATGAAGCTTATTGTGTAAATCTGTAGCTGGAACGTACAAAGGACTCTGCGTGACAAACACAACCATGCCCTTAAAGAAAAATAAATGGAAGAGGACGAAATGAAAAATCTCAAACATGCTGCTATGAAAAAAGAATGTCTGCAGTGTAAGAAGAGAGACAACCACTTCTGCTAACATTGTACTCGCACATCTCAGCTGGTCAGTGACTTTGCTGGCGCTCTGGGGCATCTCCTTCAGAAAAACCTGCGCCAAGCTGGCACCCGAAGCACGAAGCAAGGTAAAATGAAAGGATTTAGTGGGATAAAGGATGAGCAGAGCTTTTGCAAAAGCAGATTTGACGTTAAAAAGCATGGCAGCGCAAGATGAAGCACAGGCGTCACGCAGGCTGCACAGAAGGCTCGTGCGGGGGAAGAATTTACATTGCACAGTTTGGGTGTCAGATTAAATAAAAAAATTTGGGCTGTCAAAGTGCAATCTCAGTGTTGACATAAAAAAAAGCCCTTGCAACACAAACACACAGCGCTAATGATATCGACAAATCTTTTCTTCTCACCACTCCTATCCTTGGCTCTATTTTAGCTGTGTGTGGAGGGAGCTTCAGCACTTCGTGGTCAATGAATTTCACTTCAATTTCCATTCTTATGCATTCCCTAGCTCGCTCTCTCTGCGAATGGGCTAGACATCAAATAACCATAAGTGAAAATATTCCCGAGTTTCTGCACAGTATCACATTTTCTTAATAATGATCCATTAAATCTTAAAATCTTTTTCATCCAAATGCTGTCCCTTCTTTTCAAAATGATGTATTTCCAGTCTTTTATGAGGCAGCAATCTACGACAATGTCATTATTGCTAAACTTCGACTCTTCCCCTCTGTTGGAAGAAATGTTTTCTTTCTACAGTAACCAACCCACCTCTCCTTGGTTCACTTTGGCAGTGAGACAAAAGGAGACCGCCTCGGGCTGACAGTCTAACGTATTTGCAGCAGCTCCTGTATTTATGGCTGTATCTTCTTTTCCACAGTTCACAAACCAAAATAACAATCTTTCCCACAGTGCAATTAAGGACTACCTGTACACCAGGAGATCCCACAGTAAGCCTTACTACACGAAAATAAATACTTGAGCCAGAAAGAAGGACCCAAACCACATTTTCTTATTACAAGATATTTTTTTATATATTACAAAATTACAGTTTCAATAAAGAAGTATAAAAATAGGAAATTATTTGGAAAGTGCTTGCAAAATACAAGCACTTCCTCAAAAGGCATTGATTACCCAAACTACTACACACAAATGATCCAAACATTCGGTGAACTACTGAGATGGTTCCAATCAATACACTGAACAGAGGTTGGAAAAAAAAAATTGAAAAGTATGTTTTTACTAAAGCTCTATCTCAAACACGTCTCAGCTACCATTCTGGAATCCAGCTTCACTTGTGTCAGTATCATGTTCCTTAAGTAAGGGAAAAGGAGAAAGGAGGGGGAAAAAAAAAGAATTTAAGGAATTTTAACACTAGGGTAGAATGTCAGATTTTTGTCTGAACTAGTCTATCTGAGAAACAGGGAATACTTGGTAGTAGAAACAGCTGATCTGCCAATATGCTCCAAACAGACTCTGAAGCATCAAATTTACTATGAAGAGTTATTTCAATGCAGTACTGCTTGTGAGTACTAATGCTGGCTTCACATCTACACCGTAGCCTTAGCAAGCACTGTGAACGTTCTTGAAGGCACACTGCTCTTACACAATGCACCATTAAAGAACCGTATTTAGCTGAAATTACTGAAAACTAGACTTGCATGTATTAATCCCCCAATTAAAATAAACGAGCAACTTAATAAATTGAGCACTACACATTCTATACAGATTAATAGTCATAAGTATTCTGGATCATACCTCACTGGTCTAATTTATTGCACAACAAATGTCTCAACCCATCGCTGTACCTCTTGCCTGTGACAAGTGCAGCTGCTACAAAGATACATCAGCCTCAGTGCTGACACCACCAACTACTCACTTGTAATTCTGTTACTAGAAATACCTGATTCAGTTTCTTAAACTCAACCACTTGGAAGAAGATGTGCTCCAGGATATGTCTGGCGTCTTGCTTCTCCTTTGGGAGTTTACTTGTTACTCCTAGGATATCGCCGCACTTTCGTATGTAAAACTCCAGGTCATCATCGGTACCTAAACAAGCATCCCAGGAAAGAGGTAGTTGAATATGACACGTATCCATATCAGCTGGGCAAAAACCTGCTACGAATCTCCACTTGTTGTTGGTGTTCTGTGAGGTTAAGTCCTGTAGCTAAGTTCAACGGACTAGCCACGATGTATCCCTGCAGCTAGTACTTTCTCAGTTTGTTTAGACTTAAGGTGTGTTTAGAATAATCTTCACATTTTCACTTTGAAGCATAAAAAGATGTGAAATAAATCAGCAAGAGCACACACAGCAATTTATGCATGATATAGGAAAGAGCAGGCAGAAACGTAATAAAACGTCACGTAGCAAACAAAATAAAATGTCATGGTACATGAAGCCACGTTACCAATTTCCAAGGCCTTCCAATTTCTTGGCGCAGGCTGAGAGCAGTGGATTTTCACAAATGAGGCCTGTATTTTAAATCTAACAACAATTTCCTCCATGTAAACAATCAGTCTGCTCCACTTACATTTGTTTGTAATCTCTGCAAGACGAGCTTTCTCAGAGGAAAATGTTTCATCCAAGTCAAACAGCTCCAGAGGGGGAGGAGGCAACTCTCTGAAAGCAGGTGGAAAAACCTTGCAGAGAAGAAATAGCATGGTTTATTGCCGCATGTTTTTCTTGCGCTTTACAGATCTCTTAAGACAATAGTTTTGGACTTAGATCGGACTTGAAACCTTTTATAAACTCAAAAGCAACTCCGAAGCCCACACTACAAAGGTACAGCTTCTTAAAAATTCCATTTATATTTTGTAAAAATAACTGAATATTC